GTTACATTTTGGTCAAATACCATTTTGATGAAGCGACTAGTTTTCGCGTAATTTCTTCTTGAAGTGAATGCAATTTATAAAAAAAATCTTTAAATGGGTACATACTTTTTTCCTGAGATGTACTAACGATCGCTAAAAAATTGTGGGGTACTTGTTATCGTTAAACTTTCTGATTTTTCGAAAATTGCAAAATTTATAAATAATGCAAGAAAGTATGTAATGTTGTAGCACCACTAATAAATTTTTCGAACTTTTCTAGAATTAGATAAGTTGTATACATCATCTGCTCAGAACAATATGAATTAAACTCCGAAATCGTCGAAAATAATTTACGCCTATCAAAGGGTTCATGAGGGGCCTCTTTTTATTGTACATGAGTGACATAGCACTGGTACGAATATATTCGTTGTTTGTATGTTACTTGGTTGGGGAAGTAAATGTATAACTCTGTGGGAACTTCAAATACAATTTTCTCAAGACAGCTTTTTTCGAGATTGATCATTATTGTCCTCAGCAGCCAATATATGATGAATTTATTGTATTATGATTAATATCATAATTAATGAAAGAGAGTAGAGAGGATGGCAACGGAGCCGAGTGGGTCTGCCAGAAGGTTCTGCGTGAGCATGGGCGGCTTGCGCGTGCCTGCTGACAGTTGAGTCGCAGCCGCTCCAAAGTCTCCCAAGAAGGAAGTTTGCAGGGTCATGAGACTGCATCGTGGAGCGTATCTGGATCGACATTAGGACCACAGGGGTGTACAGCGCTACTCTTCACACACTGCTGTTTTCCTTCGAATACGAGAACAGGTTTCCTGGAAAACTCATCTCAATCAGAATGTAAGTAGGTGATCAAGAGAGTTTGCCAAGGGAACCTAATGTATCTATCTTACGAGAGGATAATTATCTTTTCTCTAATATAAATTTCTTAATTATTTAATTAAATACTCTTGAGTTTTAGTTAGGCAAGAACTCAATGAGAAAAGTTCATTATCAAAGTCGAAAAATATATTCTCGTAAATATATTAGAATTTAAAAGTATCTAGGGTGTTTTGTAGGACACATAAAATATAATTCTAAAGAATATAAGTACAATTTGCTTGTAAATATTTAGAATATCATCCAGAAAAGGTTAGAGTTTGTATCTTGAAACTTTTCCAACTTCATGTTTTCTTTGAACGCTGAACTAAGTTTCCAACCGTAGAGCTCGCTCTTTAGTATGAAATATACTATAATGCTTTTCCCTACAATTGATCGTATCCAACATGATACAATGTAAAATGTAATTGTTAAAACCCTCGAGAGACATAAATGTCGACTAAGAAGAAATAAAACTAAAATAAATCACATTTGATGATTTTCTGTGCTGAAAACACGCCTAGTACAAACAACAAACATGAACAGAGAAATGTTTCTCTCACATGTGGCAGTAAGTGCTGTTCTCAAACATTTTAACATTTGGTTTGAAATTAAATATTGCCAATATAATGACAACAGAAAAATATATTCAATTTTCTTACAGTCATCTCAATGCATAAAAGTAATTACTGTTTGGTTAAGGGTAGAATAAATGTTAAAAGAATTACTCTCCATACTATTGTAAAAAAGAAAGGTACCAGGAATTTCCAAGTATTGCTTCTAAAAAATGATGAAACGAACTTTTTAAATGATATTTTCATTTTTACTTTATTGTACTACATTAATACAGAAAGTCTTGAATGTAGTGAAAATATGAATAACAAAGTTAGATAAAAGTTGCAATTTACTCTCAACTTTTTTTGAAGAGAATCATTAATATGATTACATTTATGTATTTTATGTATTTTGTTAGTAAACGTTTCATTTTTGAAAACTTTAATTATTTCAATAATGTAAAATGATTATTACAAAAATAACTTTCTTATTTAAATGAGCTTAATTTCCAAAACATTAATTTACCCACTTTAGAATTCCCTAAATATTTCTGTTTGTACACGGAAATGATTCGCGCCATTGTTTGTTATGAACATGAGTGCCTTAATTACGATCAGCGAAGAGTTACGACTATTATAGGCAGACTGACATCAATGCGAAACAAGTAGGCCGCCAGCACCATTAACTGCGTCGCTCACAGACGAATGGTGGAGGGTAATGTCCAGTGACACTGAAATAGATTGTCAAAGGTTGTTATTTTTATGTTACGACAAACAATAACAAATCTTTATTATGAAAAACATCTGGAATATAACCTTGGCATTCTATTTTACATGAGATTTGTTGCAGTTGCATTTTGAGTTAAAATTTAATGATAATTTATTTATTGAAAAAGGCATCATTTGTATAGTCAGAATATTTTAAGATATATTTATTTACATACATACATACATACATACATACGTTTGATTTTATAATAACACCAAGAAAAATATCCAGATCTGGCAGGTGAGCAAACAATATATCGGCTCCTTGTAATCCCTGGAAGGAAAATTTCGTCCAGGAAACACCTGGCTTCATTGTGATAATAGGATGCAAATATGTTTTCCTGAAAAATAACATTGTTGACAACCATTATGAGAAAAATCTTGGTCATCATTATGTGTCAACATGATTCTTCCATTAATTTCTGACCTTCGATTGATTGAAAAGAGATGCCAGAATCAGAACAACAAAGCGCACTGTAAGAGCCATTTAGGATGTACTCGTAGACAGCTTCAGGAATTGACGAAATACAACTTGTGGTTCTAAAACAACATATACTTTCCCCCCGTATTTTCTCGCAAAAAATTGAAGTTTCGAAAAATTGTACCCGGCATTATTTGAAAACCTATTTTTATGGAACAGATGCCATTAAGAGAAACATCTCTCCTTTTAATATTTAAGTGTTGGAACTCTCCTGAAAATTTTAACTTTTTGCAATTTTCGAAAATTTAGGGTTTTTATTGAACATGAGACTAGTACCATTATCTTAAACATCCTTCACACTCCCCACCCACAAAATTTAATCAAAAAAGATGGAGCTATGTTTTTTGGAAATTTGGAAAATGTCACAGGGGGCATCATGAACAGTATCCCCAAAATTAAAGTATCGGTTTCAAATTCACCAAAAACACCGAAAAGTCGCTTATATTTTTTGCGCAGAATTACATAACGTTCTTTCTACTCTGAAGAACGTAAAAAAGTATTGCAGCGATAAAAAAAATTCCAGAAAACGAGGTGTATGAAATATTTAAGATCTGCATGATCTTTCTAGAAATATATTAAAAATTTCCTTTGAAGTTTTTTTAACCGTCCACAAACGCCATGACAACAGAACGCATTCATTTCAAAAGAGAAATCTCTGTAATAGTTTGATGGTTACACAACAAACATCTTTAATATTTTCTACATTCGTATAATGCTGTAGCACATTTACTTTGTCAATTAAATTCATTAAAGAACATTGAATTTGGTGAATCACGAATTGAAAATAATACTGATTTCTAATATTTCTTCCCAATGTAGGCGTGGGAGGGGGGAAGGAGGCGTGGCCCCCTAAACTTTAAAAAAAAGGGGCCACATTGCCTTACGTAATAAAATATTTTATTTCCTTAGATGTATCCAGTCTTCGGTTTACCCTTTTCTAACATCATAATTTGGGGAATTTTTATACCTCATTTGGAAAAGAAGCCCATCACTCCACCTTGTAACCCTGTAAATGGTTCTATGTAATATACATTGTATTTATTAGTTATATAACTCAGTTTATTATTTCATTCTCCTTGAAATATGTTTTATTTATTTTTAGTAAAATGCGGAGTACTACTAATAATAAAGTTTAATTGAAAAGAAGCTTAGAAATGTAGTTGTTTAAGGCACCCCACAATATATCACATATATCACATGCTTTGGAGACAAACTTATTAAATTAAGTTACATCTTTTAAACTACTTGTAACACATTCATACAAAGAAAATGGAGCTACACATTTAATCCATTCAGACTTAATTGTTTGTTGTATTTGAAACAAAATAACTGATAATTGTATTAAAAATGAGTTTTCTTTCTGTTTAGCAATGATTGTCAGGTGGAGAGTACGTTGACCCCAATCACAGCTACTTTCCGGCAACTCACGAAACGTCTTTTCCGCCTTTCCACCTGTGAACAAACAACATGACCCTCCAAGAAGGAAATGAAGAACAAGCCATTGACTTGGAGTTTACGTTGACTATTCAAAATTTATGGAGTAGATAGAAGAGTCTCTATAAATAATTGTCCAAGTTGAAGTGTAGGAGGTAAATGGTAATATTTTTTATGAAAAAAACATCATTTCACGTATATGTTTTAAAACGTAAGTTATGATGTGTCGTATTTTAACTTCCGTGAAATGGTTTGCAGTCGTTTGGAAAAGAGTTTGCAGTCATTTATTTTATTTTCATTTGAAAAGAATAAAAAAAACGTCAAAATATAAACATTTATTGTAAAGTGAGTAAGTGAGAAACATATTGTAGGATGACGATTAGCGAAACGCAGGGTTGAGTGGAACCAATACTTTGACAGAACGGATAAAAACCAAATAAGTAATACACACCAAGATAACTAATTTTGGAAATGTAGAATAGAGCACTTGTAAATTCTGGAAAACTTTCTAAATCTGGGAAATTCAACATGGAATTCGACTTCTCAGGAAAAGTGAACGAAAAAATGCACATAAAAAATAAATATAATTATTATTAGCTATTAATTAGAATAATGTAAATACGTATTATATTATTATAACTTATTAAATAATAATAATAACGAGACGAAGAAGAATAAAAGAATAAGAAGAAAAGTCGAAGTTTTGTTTAAGAGGCAACTTGGAAGCCACCCTTGCAATTAAACATTCTCGCTGGCACGCATCCCGAAGGGTCAGAACATTCTCGCTGTGACCGATAGGGGTTTTCGCGGCGCAACGATTCCACGTGCCCCGGGCCCCCGCCCCCGCCCCCGCCCCGCCGCCGAGGCTCCGCCCCCGCCGGCGATGCTCCGCCACGCGCGCAGCACGCCCCTGGGGCGGCGGCGGCGGAGGCGGCGGCGGAGGCGGCGTGGGGCAAGGTCCCGCCCGCCGCTCCAATATAACCGCCTCCCGCCGCCGTTGGGGCATCAGAGCTCCTTCGCCTACCTACTCGGCCTACGCCTCTGCCTCGCAGACGCCTGCCTGCCCTCCTTCGCCTTCGCCGAAGACTCTCGTCTCGCCAACATGCCCTGGTCTTACACCGACAGGTGAGATTCCCTCTGCTTTTGTTCTGCCCGCTCTTATAACACGTTCTTTTATGGAAAGTGGAATGCTTTTAAATTTTCGTACGGGTACTATACAAAAAAATTTGTAATATTGCACAATATAGATGTCAAGTTTTTGACAAAAACACACATTTTGGGGTCTCAGATATGGAAAAAGCGGTCTTTTACAAAAATGTCTCTGCGGTCGTTTGTGGACAGCACAAGCGCCTAAACCGTACACAGGATTTTCTCAGGAAATAATATTTTCCCATCTACCTCGTCGCACTTAAGCTGTAAATTCCAAACGAATCTGTCAACACGTTTTAAAAATTATCAATTTTTTTTCGTTCTTGCTGGAGTAGAAAAAGTGCACTCGTAAATTGGTATAAGTCTGATCTTCTATTACAACTTCTCAAATTTAAAATGTTACAAAAAGTCAACATTTTTCTTTTCTTTATCGTATTTTACAATTATTTTATGCTATAGGTCATTAAAGCTAGATAATTTTTCTAATGCAATAAACTGCTTAATATTAAATTTTTAAATGATCCCATGAACGTGCTTTCCAAATATTAGTAGTTTTTGAGAAAGTTTCAATTGAATTGTGAGAATTGTGTTTGGTTCTACAATTACGAATTTATTAAGAATGAATTATGGGGCTGTATTCAGTACTTAGAATAATAAAGGAATGAACAAGACTAGAAGTCTAAACTTTAAGAGTCAAATACTTGTCATTCATGCTTTTAACTTTAAGCGTCAAAGTTCGACCTTGGTGTGGAGTTGTATAATGAGTGAAGTAAACAGGATGTTTGAACGATTATTTTTGTGAATATTCAGAACAGTACTTCAAAGTAAAATTTTATTGGATATTTTCAATACAATTACGCTATGTTCTAACCATTTGAACGGTTTTAAATTATTGAAAGTAACAAAGACTAGGTTCTAATGTCTTCGAACGATACCTTTATCAGAATCGTCATTTGAACCATGACTCATTTGACGTCGGCCGGACCCCACCGAGTACTTGCATAATTTTACTTTCACGTACTCGGTTTGAAGGTCACCTCAGGTGTAGATAGTGTGTCTACTGGACATATTATCTATTGCTTCGACGTTGCTTCTGGTTTTGAAATTGCTAGAAACACTATCACCCACTTTGAAACACCTTTTATAATGCTCAACTTTCCTCAAACCTTCTAATATTTTTTCCCTACTTTCTTCTGATAGAGCCCTAATATAAAGTTCGAATTGGACCGTGTGATAAATACGTTGAACGATTCTTGGGGAACACATGAGCCTTACTGAGGCAATTTGAGTACACATAATGTAATTGTAATATTTTCAGTCTCTGTACTGTATTTCTAGCCATAGGCATTTGATTCACTTTTATAAAAGCTATACGAAATGCTTTCATAAGTCATAATCGGGTTCTTCACGAGTTGTTGGCTTCAACAATATCGCATTGCATTAAATAGAGGTGCAAAATTCCGTAGGTCTAATGTGCTCGTCAGGGCCTGTCTCCGCCCCATTGGAACAGTTGGCAAAATCAAAGCGTGCTGGTGTTACCCGGAGGGGCTTTGCCTTAAATTCGCCAACTTTCCCCGATATAAATTAGACACATTTGTGGGAAATACGAAATAAGCGGGAATCCAGATTTTATATTGATAATATGTACAGAAAAAATCGTGCTTGGATACAGGACCCGGATTCCATCTAGCACGTTCCCCGACAGCCTACGGCTGGTGTACTCTCGATTTCAATAATGTTCACAGCCGTCTGTCTCCTAGATCTTGCACGAAAGGTGTAAGGGTTGTGTCACTATTGTACGCTTTGCCACCAGTTTGTATGGGCGTTAAAAGTCCCTGGCACTCATCCCGCTGTTTATTGATTATTTCGTGCTCCGGGGGCGTCGGGCCTTTGCCCCGTTAGCATAGTGCACGCTTTTCACGTCAGGTGGCGGTGTTCTTTTTCCATTCGATGGCGAGATGCGTCGCCGACCTACATGTCGACGTTCCTGACCAGGCATCTCTCTCCAGAAACGCTCACCCCTGGTCTAACCTCGAACACCTCGATTGGTCTTTCGACATGTGGCGTAGTGTAGCGCCAGTAGGTCTAAGTTTGTGTAGGTTAGGGGTGAGGATAAGACGAGGCAACTGTTCTCAGAACGCTGTGTCCTTTCGAAAGCCCAGAATCGAATTACACATTTATTGGGATTTTCTCGAGTCCAAACTATTCAATATGAAGGGCAGATCTCGCATGGTCCACGTCCCGTTTGTTAGGGTCGCAAGCCCGACGGCCGCTTTGAACGCGTGCCCGCTGCGTGTGTCGCAGGCTGAACGGCGTGGGCGCCACCAAGAAGCACCTGCACATGCGCGCGGCGTCGACGGCGGCGCTGCCGCTGGCGCTGCCCGCGGCCGCCGACCACCCGGCGGGGGCCGAGCGGGACGCGCCGCCTCTGCCCCCGCGGCCGCACGCCGCCGCCCTCGCCGACAAGTACGAGCTGCACAAGTACGGCTACGGCAAGAACAGCATCAAGCTGCTGCACGTGCACCGCGACGGCGCCACGCACTCCATCCGCGAGTACGAGGTGAACACGCACCTGCGCCTGCACTCGCAGCGCGACTACCTCGAGGGCAACAACAAGGACATCATCGCCACCGACACGCAGAAGAACACCGTCTACGTGCTCGCCAAGAAGTACGGGGTAAGTGCGCTCTTTTCGACGGCTCTCCGAAGGCCGGCCCGTCCGTTCCAACGACTTACTCCTCCGAAAACGTAGACGTCCGCCGCCGGTGGCATTATACGTGCACACTTGGCTGTCCGGGAGTACCAGCTTCCTGAGCAGAGTTGCCAACGTTTCGGTCATTATTATTTTAGAAATTTAGTCCCGTGGGTTGTAGTATGGCAACCGAAACGGCAACTGTTCTCAGAACGCCGTGTTCCTTCGAAAGTCCAGAATCGAATTACACATTTATTACGATTCTCTCAAGTCAAAACTATTGTATCTGTTCATTAGTACACCCTAATAATATTCTAGACAATTCACGAATTTGCGATATCCTTTGATCAGGGATCAGCAAACGCGAGGCGATACGCATTGCACACCTTCTGAAAGCAAGGAAATCGACACTTGTAAATCGTCTCTAGATCGGTTGTTATTCTGATTTTATGCACTGAGTATACATACCAGTTAAGGTTTTAAAATAGTAGAAAAGCTTCGTATTCCTCATTATAATAACTTTAAGTTTTATATTTAAAGGATATTCTACAATACTTTACCATATATGCATTATTAACATAATTATTTCTTGGTGCAGGCATTGCAAAGAATATAGAAACGTGACGTCGTGAGCTTAGCTTAACTTACTTGTGAATTAACCGAGTTGATAACGAAATAGAAATGATATTTCTTTTTAAAATATTGATATAACAACAAATCCTCATTATTTGCTCAAAGATCAATTTTGCTTGAGCTGAGAAAGTTCCAATCTCAGAAAGAATTTTTACGTATCCCAAAAGTGTTACCATTTAGCAATAAAATATTCGTAACTAATAAAAAATTGAATTACTGATCGATCAAGAATTGGAAAATGAACGTTAATTATTTAAGAACGGCGAATCTGAAGGATACTTTCTGCGTTTCAACCTTCTTCCATTCATAAACCTCTCAATTGTGTCCTTTTACCTTGCCCGCGCTAGCGAAATAAACGCGCCCGGACAGCGAGCACGCAATCAAAATGCAAATGGCTCGTGCTGCAGGTGGAGTCGCCCGAGGACTTCGCGCTGCTGGTGTGCAGCCACTTCCTGTACACGTACCGTCACGTGGACGAGGCGTCGGTGCACGTGGAGGAGTACCCGTGGGAGCGGCTGCAGGCCGAGGAGCGGCCGCACAACCACGCCTTCATCTTCTCCCCCACCGCCGTGCGCTTCTGCACCGTCAAGCAGAAACGGAACGGTCAGTCTCCGCGGGAAATGCTCGGCTGATATCGCAAACAAGCAGGGGAACGAAAAGCCACTCTGGACGTTACGGATTTAACTGCCCGCCTTCATTTAAAAACAATCGAAACAAATGAGTTGTGGCTTTAAATAATACGTATATTCGTATTTCAAGAGAAAGTATGTCTTGCAATATGTAAATATGAATTTAAATGTAACTTCAATTTAACTTTTCCCCATAGCACGTCACACATAGTTTTTAACTGTTTTTGACGTAAATAAATAAATAGATGTTTCTTACGTAGTATAGGATTTTTTATTAGAAGATGCTAAAAACTAGGGTGTCACCTCGCTTTACAATCTTCGCGTTATTTCCTGAATATTGGTCTCGAAACATTGAAAACTATTACGTACAGTTTTTCAGCTGACTAGCAATTACGTGCATAACGGGGTTTTTATAGTATCATTAGCAACAGTGTACAAGAAAAGTGTGACAAGTAAGAAATCTTATTTTTGGGAGAGTTGGGAGAAGAAGTATGTTTCGAAAATAGTCTACTTTCGCAAACAAATATTTATTAAGACAGTTCACGAATATGTCGATAGGTAGTGTAATGTACTTTTCCTTCAAGCGTGAGATAAAAGGCTCCACTTGGTTTAAAATCATTCTTCAGAAAATTGGCAGTTGTGGACATACATCACTTTTCTTGAGCACTGACAATACGTAAATAAAATTAATATATTATTTTTTTACGTATTAAAAATAATTTACATCTTAAGAAAGTTATTGGGGTCCCCGATATTCAGTGGCGGCCGTTGGAACATGCTTGTTTATTTATGCATTAATCCACCCCTGCACGAGTGCCACCAGAGTTGCAGACATGCTTACTTGAAAAGGGCGAAAGGCTGCAGATTAGGCAAACTCGTTGCGAGAATGAATTTCCTTTCTTAATCTCTTAGAGAATTTATATAGATGTGTTCGTAATAAAAATGTAAATGAGGATTTTCCTATGAACTTAGTATTCCGAGTATTTGAAGTGTTAAAATGAAACATAAAATTTTTGTACAGTTTATTTCTGCATTTTATTAGTTTCAAAAGCATTACATGACAATATAGTGGGAAATTTAATGATCACCTTACCATAAAATATTATTTTTACGTAGAATAACATTTGTTCAGACATTGAAAGTCCTCGCTCATTTTTTCCTTTTTCATTTTAGAGCGTCCCAAAGTGACTGGTGGTCTGCGTGACTTACGAGTCCTCAAGACGACGCAATCTGCTTTCACTGACTTCATCCAGGACGAATACCGCACCCTTCCTGATGCCAACGACCGTATTTTCAGCACGATCGTCACAGCGACGTGGCAGTACTCCACAGTCAACAACGTCGATTTCGACGGCGTTTGGTGAGTAGTGTGAAAGAACAATATTCTTATTAGGAAAAATTAGGGTGAATATGTTAGGTTATGATGAACGTCTTTAATTTGTGCAGGGATGCCGTAAAGGAGTGCATACTTGAGAACTTCGCTGGCCCTCCGGATGTAGGTGTTCCTAGCAAGTCGGTACAGCACACACTGTACCTTACGGAAAAGATGGTTCTGGACAAAGTGAAGGAGGTGAGCATGAATTAAACGAATTCTGTATAAGATAAATATAAATATTGTGATATACACGCTACCGATAGCAGAATATCAAGGTTTTTGAGTTATCTGAGAATTTCGGAAATAATTAAGAAGGTTGTATAGTCAATTAATAAATGTTTCATATTTATCTTCCTATCGAAATATTAATTAGAACTCAATTCTCAATCACGAAATTCAGTTTTTGGAATATGAGAACACAACGCTATTTGAATTCTGTATTTTGAAAACAAGCCTACAAAACACATTCAACACATACGATTCGTAGTGTATAGAGTTGTTATTTGTATTTATGTAATTGGAAAAAGCAGAATCAAATTGTATAGACACCTCGACGAGCAGAAAATTTCAAAACATAAGTTTTCTACAACGCACTTAACAGTTATGATATTATTCGAAAGCCAATCTAAATATAATAAATCCCACGAAATATGTAGGTATATTTCGCACGAGCACACTGCATAAGTAACTAACCGAAAAGCCGAGATGTGGAAAAATTGAAGATTGATTTCCGAAGAATAATGAAGGCCCCAACGCTCTTGAATAAGTCATGCCCTCTCTGTCGGAGTTTGCTGCGCGCCGCTGATTAGCCGGGGAGTCTGGCGTGTCCGCCCATGCCGATTCTGCGCCGGGATCTCCACGTGGTCGGAAAGGAGGGGAGGGGAGGGGGAGGGGGACGGGCGTCGCGCTAATGGGCGATGATTGCTGTTGGACGCGTGCCCATCGGCGCGGGCGGCGATAAGCCACTGGAGGCGCCCGCCCCTCCACCGCCCCTCCGCCCCCACCATGCGACCTCCGGATCAAGTGTCTTCTTTCACGCTCGGCGCTCCACACTTCGAATCCTTTCTTAATTCAATGTTGAATTGTAAAAAAAATGTTAATGAATTCATCTCTTTCTTATCGTTAATGACGAGAAGGAATCGACTCCTTCGACAGAAAAGTTGAACGTGAACCTAACCCGTGAACGACAGGGCCCATTGTTATGTTCACAATATTAGCCTCTAAATTCTCTTAGAGCGCCTGAATTCTCTTAGGGCGCCTGAATTCTCTTAGGGCGCAATTGACGCTTCGCCACGCGTTTCCCAGTTGGGAACGAGGTTCGGGTCTTCGGCTTCCGCGACGAATATAACCCAACATTGCGCCTGAGCCATGCATAATTTGCAACCCTTTTCATAAGATTTTACCCTAACTACGCAAAGCTACGTATGACGTTCGTTATGTCTTTTATTCTTCCTCTCGTGGCTCAGTGCGTTTTGTTTGGTACTCGTGGGGATATGTAGGTACTAGAAGGTTACAAAAGAAAGGTTTCTTGCACTGGCTCTCATAACACTAGTCTCGTTCATTAACTAGCTCCAGATCTCTCTACTCGCGGGATTTTGCTTGTCCGACACAGCCGTTACCCAAAGGCCGTGCATTCTGTTTACATAACCAACGTACTTTCACAATTAACTGAGATTTATAAGTTGCGTTTTTCATGACACTGACCTCCATACAAGAAAACAATTGCTTAATAAATAATTGTGTTCTGAATAGTAGTCTTGTAAAGAGGTAGAAAAAATTAAATCACAAAGTAGTTAGTAATTTCTAATACTTTACATGAAATGTAATGAACCTCTGAAATTAGATTGTTTATTCCTAAGTTGAAGTGTTTATTTATGAAATTACGATTGTCTCTGAGACAGTAAATTTCTGCATTGACTAAGAAATAAAATATATGTTGACACCAGAAATTCATACCAAGTTAAGTAATTTATTTAATTAGAAGCACATGCTAACGCGATGTATCTCTATGTTCCAGCTTTCGCGAATCGAGATGTGGATGCCCAACAAGCACTACTTCACCCTCGACTTGTCCAAGTTCCCGTCGACGGTGGTCCAGGGCGAGAACAAGGAGGTCTACGAGCCTGTGGACAAGCCATCGGGCATCATTCATGCGATGCTGGAACGCAAAGCTACCACCTCAAGGCTTTGAGTCTCTCATACCCAACTTGTAAACATCAAATATCCATTGCACATTTATTATTCATAAGAGAATCAATTGTCATTGTTTCATTTTACGCTAAAAACAGTATATAATCGTAATTTAGAAAGATTCTCGTGACTAATTTCAAATTATCTATAAAACTCTAGTATTCTGATCGGATTTTTATAGAGTCGATCAATAATCTTGACATGTAGACATGTATTTTTCTGTTTGTCGTCAACAGTTGTCAACATTTTCTCTTTTCTTTGTTCTTTATGCAATGTATAATGTGATGCGGTGTTTATGTGGTGTTGCTCTGTTTGACTATTGGAATTTATGTGGAGTGTATCTGAAGTTCAGACTTGTTCATGTCAATGTATTATTTCTTTCGCCTTTATTTGTACATAACATGTGAATATATTGTATTTATTTGTACATAGAAAATATAAATAAATATTTATAATAATGAAGTACATATTGATGTAAAGTTTCACCTTATGTAGCATTCCTATTTTCCTTCTCCGAACACAATTTGTCGGGAGCTTAGAGTTCCAGCTGTTCCAAATGGAGTGGTCTCCTGCTGATAGGAGATACCTGGTTGGGGAAAGAAAGCGCCCATGCTTTCGTGTAGGTTGGCTCCAGATCTCTCCATCCAGAAGGAAACGTTAACTGCCATCTTCCGCGTTAAAAATGCATTACAATTACGGGACTAATAATCTTAGCAATTGACGCACTCGAAAACATTAATCAATCACATTTTTATTTTATTATAGTCTAGAAAAACATTTTTGGAGTTAAATCTCATTCTAATAAAATATTACCATTTAGCATAACGGCACGAATATTTTTTTCTAAGACAGGAAAATTAAAATGTCTCATCACTTCAGGATTTCCGATTGCCCAGTTCTTTCTGAAGTAACAAAGTCATGTAATAATAGTATTTTAATATTTTTCAGAACAAATGTTACAGGAAATTGATTTTTGTTAATAAAATACATTAACAAATTCGTTAATTTTTAATAATTCAATTTTTATTAGTTATGCCTATTGTTTGAGATTTGCGTTCGTATTGAACACATACTACGTTATATTTTTCTCCCTTTATTAATTTCATAATTAAAAAAAATCATGAATATTTCAAGTACATGTTTCAAACTTTTTCGCCCCTCATCCACCCTAGAAACGTCGAGAAATTTTCATTCTTTAAATCCTGCTTATGACTTGCGGTTTTCTGACAAAATTTAATGTTTCTTTAAACAATGCTACACAATGTAACTGTGACATTAGGCAACGTATCTTCCTGAATATCTGAACTTGAATTTCTGAATCAAGAAATAAATAAGGCAAGAAAAAATGATGTAGTGTCATAAAGATAATTATAATTCTAAAACTTACCTTCCATTACTCGACCATTACTGCATGTTGTGGGTTTCACACATCCATGAACATTGAGTTTACCTCGCTCCGTTTTTGGACTGATTTATCTCCAACCCTTCTCCAGAGAGACATTCAGCTTCATATAACCCATTGTACAGCCGTAGATGTTTTCAAGAAAAATGAAAATTTGACCAGCAAACAAGATTAAGAGGAGGAGAGGTCAGTGAATAAATATGCAAGTGCTGAGTCCTGTATACATATAAAACGGTTTAATGGATATCCTTTATTCTGACACATACAACAGAGGAATTCCATGACAACGATGTGAGATAACTTTGTATGGCGTCTTCAAATTGCTCACAACTAAGGATCTTGATGGGGGTGGAGGCGGGGTGGGGGCGGGGCGGACGGCGGCGGCGGCGGCCGGGGCTCTGGAGACTGTGGGGGCAGCACAGCCTAGCGGGACCTAGGCAGAATGTTCGGCGATCACTGCAACAGCACATGCATCCTGGCGTTAGTCCTCGTGTGCATTCACTACGACATATCGCTGTACAAGGAGAGCGCCACATCTCAAAAACAAAAACGTACAATGCATCTAAGAGACAAGCGCCTCGGTACAATTTGTGCAGGAGAAACAATAAAAATGTTTATCCACGTTGGTTATCTAAAGGAAGACTTAACGTAACTGATCAGTATCGTGACAGAAGTAATTGTTTTCATACTAACACATTAGAACACAAGTGGTCGAATAATCTATATTCCACTATTAGCTACTATAAGAAGTTTCGTTATAAGTATTATGAGAATACAAGTTATAATAATCCATGGCCTCACAGAAACATACGTTATAATACTCCATGGCTTCAAGGAAACTTCTACAATCAGCCTATCATCTTATCCAGGAACAATAGTCATATTTAAAAATAATATATTGGCATATTACAAAGTGGATAAACTCTTGTGCGATATTCCTCGTGTAACTTCTTCATACAGTACTCGATTGGTTAATAAACTCGGCCTAAGCTCTCGTTTAATAATTCACCGATCTGGTATGACTTACGAAACTTGATTCGTAAGTAACTAAGCCTGTATCCTCTTAACTACGTATGACGAAATAAATATGCCTCGTTTTTTTCGACATTACACAACTTGGAAGGTTCCAGCAATAACTGGGAATATTAACGATAATGACATGTATTGTAAAAGATCATTTTTCTAATGTATATATGTATATCATATTAATATATTATATATTATATATTTTATATTATACATTATATATTATATATTATATATTATATATTATATATTATATATTATATATTATATATTGTATATTATATATTATACATTATACATTATATATAATCTATTAGTTCATCTATAAACAAATGGATCAAAAAGTAAGTACATAATTAGATAAATGGGTAAATAGATCAATAAATAAAAAAACAAATAGACGAGAGATGAATAGCTGAATAGGAAGGCCGAGGTGAGCGCGACTGACCGTGTCGGAGGGGGCGTGGCCGGGGGGCGCCTAGCGGCGGCGGCGCCGGCCCAGGAAGCGGATGTTGGTGAAGACGGAGGCCGCGGGGCGGCGGCGGTTGCAGAAGGAGACGGTGCGGCCCAGGTTGCCCGCGCGCGCCTCGTGCAGCGCCACCAGCAGCTGGAAGACGTCCTCGCGCGTGGGGTTGCACAGGTAGGGGTTGTCGTAGTCGACGGCCGGCGACGCGCCGCCGCCGCGCCCCGGCTGCCGCTTCCACGGGTAGCGCCGGTAGTAGCGCGACCGCTTGCCCACCGCGCCGTCCTGCTGCACGCGCGGCGCAAGGCGCTGTTATTTCGACAATTCGTTATAACGCAATCAAAGCAAAGGAATGAAAAGCCAATCGTAAGGGCCGGTGAACGTTCAGGAATTTAGCAGTCCTCCCTCCGTTAAGAATATCACAAGCATTTCCAAGAACGCTTTGGAAATTGTCGATAAGTTCACGACTCATTTATCCCCGGGATAAATCCTCCCAGGTTTATTATAGGTCCCTGAGTACTTTGGAAATTATCGATAAAGTCCCGACTCGCGTAGCGAGGAGGAGATTCATCTGGGAATTACCAAAACATAAGTACTTTTTAATAGGACTATTCCACAAGTGAAACATTGTCTATCAGGGTTCCAAAACGCGCCGACTATTGAATATCTGCAAGCATGTTAAAGTCAAAGTCAGAGATGTAGTACATACGCGGTTTTTGGACATCGACATAGCGATCGATGTATCCGCTTCCTAAGGCGAGATACAGTTTATAACTGGCCAGTAATAAGAATGTGATGTTTCGAGAACTATTAAACGACACCTGTACAATATCACAACTAAAGCAATACCGCCGATATCACAAATAATTGGTTGGTTTTAAACTTCGGCTATCGCCTCGGTTTACAATCTTCAACCCTGTCGTTTAATCGCACTATAACACATAACGACGTTAATGGCAAACCGTTACGAAATATTGATTATGATGTATTGGGAGGGGTGGATGGAGAGGTGAGAAAGATGTATGAGATAGGGGATGGTAGATAGAAGAGCTTGTCTTTGATAAACACGAAAAACACTCACATGGAAATTAAAGCAATTAACCGGTTCTGAGCTCAGGTCTTTGAGACTCTTCCAATAAACTAGTTTACGATTCCGTACTGCGCGAGTGCAATTTCTCCAAACCACTAGTTTCAAAATCGTAATTTCACTCTTATTTTTATGTCAAATTACTTTTACGACTATGCGAATCCATTTCCATGTTGAGGATGAGGCTCGTGTCTTCGGCTGTCCATATTAATTTGAACTTGAAATATACTGTGCAACGCAGAGTTATCAACACATTTTATGCAAATGTGTTGATACACAAATCTTTTGGATGGTAAACATGGGTATCTTTTGTATGTTGGTTTCTGATAAGCACTAACTTTGTTACTTAAGAAATACAATAACATGTATCTTACTCTTTCGTCGCACTTCACAAAAGAATCACAAATTTAAAATTTTCTTGATGCCACTCAATAAAGATACACAAGAAGCAGGCGAGGCAACACTACCTCTAACCATCGAACTATATCCCTTCAAACCTAACTTTCCCTCTCCTCCCTTCGAAGATTTTAACTTCGTCTGACCGGCGCGAAAGTCAGTTTAAACGATTTCCCCAAGTTGCACGGAACTCCCCAACTTAAAACGAAAAATTCCAATTTCAAAGCACATTTCTTCAATCTGAGTAGCGATAGAGTATTTTATTTTCGTTGCACGTTGATTGAAAGTTGGTCCGCTTCTAGTCCTAAGCTCTTAGAATGTGAAGTCAGTGTTTTCTGCGTTCGCTGCATAGACACCGGGGGTAGGTAAACGACGCAACGAGTTCATAATCGTATGTAAGCAAGCCGCCCACTGCCCGCAGCTAAGACCACGAAGTAAGTTATTCCACCGTAGCTCTCTTCAAGGCTGGCTGCGGTAGTTCTTTTCAAATTCTCTCGACCATTCAGATGTTGATTTCGGATTAAAGACAAACGAGACAAACAACGAGAACAAGTATTTAAACGGATGTCCCAATACTCTGTATTTAAACGATATATCTAATATATATATATATATATATATATATATATATAACTAATATATATTTATTATATTATATATTATATTATTATATATTATTATATATATTATTATATATATAACTATATATATATATAACTAATACTCTGGAACTGCACTAACAGACTTTAATTCTAACGTGTGTGCAAAGTAACAGCTCCAAAGCAATTTGAACAAGAATTTTAAACCCAAATATTCGAGATTGCATTGTTGAAATGATGTTAATATTTTTCCATCCTATACAACTGTACTATGCTATATTGCAATTACGGAAGAAAAGAACTGGAATTTATAAACAATATGATATCCAATTGTTGGCCTAAATTGAATGTTTAAAGTTATTTTGAGCTGAAAATTTGCATACACGTCAGGATTAAAGTCTGTTAGTGCATTTCCAGAGAATTAGAATGCTCTGTTTGAAGGGTGGTTAAAACTGACAGATGACCAGAAAATTCATGAGTTCTTGCAAAGGAAAATTGGAATGTTTGTTTGGATGTATGGACTTTTGTCTTACGCATAATTTGGTTGGATTAGATGATTTTGACCTCAAACGTGATAAACACGTAACGAGTCGGATCTAATAGTGTTATTACGTGGTCTATTACACACGTAAAATGAAAACAAGGGTGGAACAACTAAGTAACCACCCTTTTGTATTTCCTCAACCGTGCAAGATATGAGAATGCAGTTTCGACACTCGATTGCACGAACAGCGGCTACATGAGTACAGCATACTTCGTCTTTTCACTATTTTTTAACTTCAAAGATATAAGGTCAACTTTTTTTATTGAATCCTAAGCTAAATATTGGCGTTTCGTAATCAGCTTCAGATGTGTAATGTTTATAATGAGCTTAAAAATACAATTTTAAATATGTGTATATCTTCGTATTTAAGCGAATCGTTTTTATAAATATTGATGTAATTATATAATGCACTGTATTTTTCACCTAAAGTGGCACTTTTCCACTTTGGAGTGAAATCGTATTGCTGCCAAATTGTAAGGTATTCTCGCCAGCGAACAACAAGTATCAGGCCCATGATGGGAACATATTCGATTCATACTGCCAATAATCACATCATACAGTTCATCACTAAGAAGGAGAAACAGTGTATGGACACGACAGCTCTGGGAAATTCGCCAGAGACGTACTTAGCGTTGCCACTGTGAGACAACCGCTCTTCCATAATTTCTTCATTTTTAGCGTGCATTTGGCGTTTAAAATGTCGCGATGCTGCACGTCATGTATGAGTACTTTATCCTTATCATCATGAGATAAATAATTTCAGCACGATGATGAAAAACATTGCAGGTTAGTATGATATACCTTTGATAATTCCAAAATAACGATAACAAATAAATAATTTGAACTTCCTTTTGCAAAGATGGAATCGATATCAGAAAGCGATAACATTATCGATAACAGAATTCAACCACGTTAATACGTGTGCAATTTGTAATCACATTGCATGTACACCATCTCTCAGAATAAATCTGAAACTTGTAGGGCGAGTGGGACTCGAAGATAAAATATTTTTGTGAAAGAAAATGTGGTGAACAATTTTATGTAATGAAATTGGACAATGTTACACGTGATCTAACATTTGCTCCTTATTTGTAGGCAATTGATCGTGCATTGATGTTTGGCGGGAAAACACGAAATTTCGTTGTGACCCGCAATACAGTAGTGCATGATGAATTGCCTACCTATCAGAACAAGAACTTCATGAGTAACTTGATTATTGAAAAGTTTCCAGATCATTAGCAGAACGGAATTAATTTCGACCCAATTACGTGTCTTGGAAGTTTTAAACATATATTTCGTAGCATCCGTACAAGTTTCACAGACAATGGAATATTGTCACAAAAACAACAACAACAACAACAACAACAACAACAAAACGAGAGCTACGGAATGGCCGAAACCTTTCGTAGTATTTTTACTTTATATTATATTGTGGCTTCATTTTAGTTTTCCCCTCTTCCCGGACGCCATGTGTTGGCACCAAAGGGAGTACCATGGTATCGCGGTAACTACTGCTATTCTGGGGCTAGTAGGTTAAATGGAAGATTTGAAGCAATCAATCACGTCGAGGATCTGTAGAATGCCAATCAAGTGGGGGATCTCTAGCAAATAAATCAAATGGAGGATCTATAGCAAGGCAATAAAGTGGAGGATCTATAGAAAGACAATATAATACGTTTTCAGAAACGTTTTGTTCACTTTGATAGATTTCTTTATTATTTTCAAGGTGTTCTCCGAAATGGCACGCTTAAATTTATCTTTTATGTTTTGGAAAGGAAAATAATACGTGAGTGTATCAAATATTACATAAATAGTAGCGTTTGTTCTTGTTGGCAAATCGACTAAAGGATATGTGATAACGTGTCTTTAACTGTATATTTGTATAAAAATTATTTTTAAAACAAAAATTAATGGTTGAAAAAAAGGAATCCAAATTATGCCCGAAAAACATTTTTCCTCCTTAAAAGCCTAAACAAAATCGTTTAAGTAGTTTCAGGTACTAGAAACACTCAGATGGACGGAGAAAAGTTGAAAAAAATGGAAAAATATATCATGTAATTAACCATAAAAATTATAAAATGTAACCGGTTTTATAATCAAAAATACTTCACCTTTATTTAAATAGATTTATCATACGTACTACCACGAGTGCTTTGAAAATTGTCGATAAATTCCTAACTCGCAAAGCGACGATGAGATTTATCTGAGAATTTCTAAAACACGAGTGGTATTTAATAGGACTATTCCACGAGTGAAATTATATCCAACAGAGTTTCAAAATACTGAAAATAAAGCGTTAAAATTGAAAATAAAGCGTTAGTTAAAATAACAAATTATGTTATTGTACATACGCTGTTTATTTTAAATCGATATAGCGATCTATGTAACGCCCAGTTTATGATGGCGGTAAACGTTTTGAGATACACCGCCCTGATTGGGGCATTTTGTATGTATATTTACACAGTATTGGTTTTCATTTCACGAGTGGAATAGTTACTACAAAACTTGAGTGTGGAATCACATAGCAAATAGATAAGCAAACATTGTAAAATCAATTGAATGGATTTTATAAGTGTGAGTCTAACCGTATGAGATTATGAAAGAGCAGGTATTTTGAAATAAAATTCAATTATAGTATGGTATAGTATCGTATGCTTTCACGGCCGGAGTCAATAGAAGATAGATTTTCCAGGATGGTAGACCGTGGTCAAGTTGGCATTGCAGGGCCAAACGTTTCGCCAGTCGCCAGTCGCCAGCCAGTCGCCAGCCAGTCGCCAGCCTGCCGCCGCCCCGAACACTGCGCCCGCGACCCTGCCGCCACGGAGGATGTCCACCGCAGACCTGGACGAAACGTTTCGCCGAACATGTCAACTGGAGCACGGCCTACCAGCCCGGATAACCTATCTTCTCTACGTATGGCGTTAGAGGGGGCTTGCGCGAAGCGACTCACCGCGGCCAGCAGGTAGGGGTCGTTGTCGGCGGCGTCGCCGTCGAAGATGAGCAGCGGGGCCCAGTCGGCCGGGCCGCCGTCGGAGGCCGCGCCGGGCGGCGCGCCTGCGCCCTGCGCGCGCAGCAGCTGCGCCAGCTGCCCCGCCAGCAGCGCCGTGTCCGCCTCGCGCAGCCATGCCGCCTCCGCTGCCGCACGCATACACGCTCGCTTCAGCACGCTCCCACGCACGCACAGACCAACACACGAAGCACGGTTCTACAGAATTAACGTTGTAAACTTCTAGGCATGCAGTGGGTTGAAGATTATGGCAAAATGTGATAATATTCAACCCACTACATACCTAGAAGCTTATCATACTTTCCAATAGAACTTGTGTCGGGAAGTTGGGTATTAAGTTACACATGTAACGATTTTGAAATGGCGATCCTGGAAGGTTGGAAATTCATTCTGCATTGGTCTTTCCTTAACAAAATATCAGGGGACGACATGCTTACTAATATTAGTTTTTGTCTTCATTGTTCAGCTTTGACACACAGCTACACAGGTATATCACATTTGTCAAACCTCAAGACCGTCAAATCCAGAAATTGTTATGGTTCAAATGTACAATAAAAATTAATATTGTCATTTCCATTTGCAAAGTCGTTTTCTGAGTTGCTGTATCTGCTAATCATCAGAGAAGGATGCGTTGTCTACAAATGAGGTGCACCAGGTCAAACGTTACCCATGTATAACTTCGTAAATTAATTTCCCAGCCATATTGATTGAAAATAGTTTCATTTCTGATCGAGCTACATGCCTGCCCAATTTGTAGAATGAATTACGAGCCATTCTGTAAAACATTTTTTTTAATAATTGTAAACGCGAAAAAGATGGAATCAATTAAATGGTCACAAAAAGTCAGACATGAAGACGGTCTCAAAGGCGCAGGAGCTCGGCACAGTTACCTTCAAATAAGCTGTTCTTCTTAAGGCTGAGTTTTCGAAAACCACGCAAGGTTTCCACCATTTTTTCGTGGCATGCAGGTATATCCATAGCTTTTGTATTGCATCACCAACATTCATTGCATCGCCACCCCATGTTCCCTCGAAAGTAGTAGAAATCAGCGGCACAGTGACACTTTTTCCTCTCTCGGTGTTAATATTCAACAATTAATCACTACTTTTTATAAGAGTGCTCGACATCATTCAGAATTCTAAAATTAAGTGGTAAATTGGGCAGAAAAATGCTTACTTTAATAATGGTGTGGGCAAGTTTGAAATAAATTTGATCTTTAGGAATTTTCAAAATTGCCCCTGTTTGTACACTACAGACACGGGAGGCTTTGGATCGCGAAGACCTGACCAGAAGCGGAGACTAATTTGACTAATCAGACTAATTTGAAAAACTAAAAATGAATACGTTTTAAAAGTGTGATTAAAAATTGAAGACTTTTTGGTAGAAATGAGTAAACGAAACACGAAATCTGGGAGGTTGGAAGTAAATTGCGAACAACTGTTTTGCGCTTTGTGGAAAGGAAAGAAGTGGAGTGAGGTGAAGGAGACACCTACGGTTTGCCAAGGTAGGAAGAGAATATAGTGAACTGAAAAACCAAGCAGTGGAAAGATTGAGATGGAAACTACTAAAATATGCGCGTGTGCCTGGTGCCAAAAAATGGTGCCTTTCGTGATGTTAAAAGCACAATTGTTTGAGTTTTTAAATTCAGTTATTTTTTGTTATTTATTTATTTTGTTAAGTTACTCTAGAGTTTATTATTTAGTTACGTGACTATGGCTAGTTACGCGAAGTATGTCAACAAATTATCAACAATTTACAATTGGTCATTAAAAATAATATAACTAATGAATGTGGATCTGCAGGTTCCTTTGTGTTTTCCTCTGTCTCATTTTGCTCTAAATGTAATTAATTTCCTTCCTCATTATAATAGCCATGTAAAATCACCATCTCCTTGCCAAATTCACCAACACTGATAAGACCTAATAAACCATTCGAGTTCAAATACGCATTGTGGTTTTCCACCAAAGTTGTTATGAATATCACAACCCTTTTTACAAGTTAAAACTTAATGAAATACAGAGGAGAAAAATCTGTTCTTGCCTATACATTTGTTTGAAATATTTGTTTCAAAGATTTCTTTAATCTCGTAATTACAGATCGTGATATTGGGATCGACTTTAAATTATGATTAACTTATCTGAAAATTCTTGTAGAAATAGCATACAGATGAAATATAACCAGTGTAAAAACAGCCAAACGTATTTGAAAATTTAATATCTTAAAATTGAATGGGGGAATAATTATTCACCCAGTATTCAATATTCAGGTACAATTAATTATAATGAATACGAATTAATAATTGCATTAATAAATCTCTGAAAATTACGCACCCTGGGAACTGAGTAGTTATTGATGCCCATTAAAACTGTCAATCAACGTACATGTATTTAACTTGTATTGTTTGAAGATTTTGGACTGGAAAGAAGTTTCTTCTTCTGTTATGTTTTATAATGTTATATTTATTTAAAATAATAATTTATTTACAAATTTTTCCTATTTGAAATTCTAATGTTTCAAATCAAAATGCATTCAATCAAGCGGAACTACAATTTCTTATCATTAAGAATTAGTTTTGTGTGAAAACTACATATTTTCTAATTCCGATCAGTTATATTAAGTGGTTTGTAAATATTTTCAGTGTAACTTTATTTTCAATATTTAATACAATGGCAATGTCTATAGATATTACAAAAATAACATTGAGTAAACGATAGCGATCAAATGGCATTAAGGAGGTAGACATATGGAAAAAATATCAATATTAATATATAAATTAAACAATTCAGGTTTCACGGCTGGATATAATATATACCTTCCGGACTGGATATCCGTGGTCTATTGGAAATCTTGCGCTCAAAGGTTTCATCTGCGACTGCGGCAGACATCATTAGTGGCTACTGGAACATGCATTGTACTTTCAGATAGCTAACTGGTGACTGGTAAACAAGCTGATGAAACGTTTTGCCTCAAAATGTTCAATAGACCACAGCTATCCAGCCCGGAAGGTGTTATTAAGAGTAATATATAAAGCTCTGAAGAATATACAAAGAAAATTATAATAAATTCACGTTCTCAGATACCTATAGATGCTCGTAGGCTTCCGGACTCATTGGATACTTGGCTTTCTGAGACGCGGCTCAACCCGGACAGCCAAGTATCCACATATATTTAGGTATTTTTATATAATTTTACCTAATAGGTAATCAATACCATTAAGTAATTTGGCCAAAATGTCTTGCGTAAATAAATACGTAGATTAAAATATCCCGGTGTAGTTTTCAAAGCACTTGTAGCAACGGCGGAGAAATATTTGGACAAAAATAATAACTTTTAACCCAAAGAATACATTTTTTATTTTTGGAGAAGTGAGAAGAATTGCCTAAAACCGTCCACATCGTATTTTTTTAAACCGTATCATGTAGAAGTAATTTAAAAACCTCGTGTCCTGTTTAGAAAAATCTCTTAATAACAAATTGCAACCTTACCTGAATGTTCGTAACACTGCCGGACTAGTAACTTACGAAAGAATACAGGCTTCACCGCTGTCGAGAATGAAATTTACTCATCGGATAAGGGGGTGCTTCGATATTGAGTTGCCGTCGTCCGACAGGCTCAATCTTCGGATTATGAAAGCGGTAAAAATTTATCGGAAACTCTATGGTCGCCCTAAACATTTTAGAGGTTGGGAAGAGTAAAGTGGACCGTGTCAACCCCAGAGTAATCTAGGCATGAAGTTGAAAGACATTGAGCTTTTCAGCAACTCAAAAGTCCGGAAGACATCTACGACAATTAGGTTTACGCGTAAACGTTGCCATTCCTAACTTCTTTTAGCACAACATTTTCTGAAATATGTCCTTGACTGGTCCATTTCATTAATCAAAATGATCGAAGTTATTAGTAACATGTACAATGCTTTCAGATACTTCCATTTAGTTGGATCATCAAAAGCTCTTTTGGTTGTTTTTTTTCTGCAAATAAATATCGTCATGCACTCTGCATATCAATTTCTCTTTTCTCCAGTTTTTTCCGAAACAAATCAACCTATAAATCAAATGTTGAGAAATTATTAATAGATTATACTATTTATAAATAATGTATAATAAAAATAACTAAATAGGTTAAACAGCATAAACCAACTATAAGAAGGGAACAAAGACTTCCGAATACATCAAACGCGACCCTAAATGTTTTACGTTTCTCCTTCAAATGTTTTTCTGATCTTGTGAACACCCACAAGCACTCCTTGTCGGTAAGACGCATTCGACTTGCAGGCGGATGATATGGTTGAACTCCCGATTTCTTGATTATTTATTATTGCGCTTCAAAAGCAACGTTAAGGGAATATTACGTTGTTAGAGCTCTAGTAAACAAAAGTTCCTCTCTTTTTTTAAAATTCAAGCAATAAAAAATCAATATGATAGAGATATTATTTGTAACGTAACCTAATTTCTTTCTCGAAATACTAAGGCGCAATCATTGATAAGAAATATTTTTGAATTTTGATAGAATTTATAATAATTGAATACGAGAACTCAATCTCAGAAATTAATCTGCGATACCATTTTTAAAAGTACAAAATAGTATAGGCTGCGAAAAAATATTCTTTCTTGCAAGCTTAGCTTTAATAAAAAAATATTATTTAATTTTTAATTGGAAATGTATATGAATTATGCTTGAAAAAGAACAGAAAATTAAATATAGAAAGTTTACAGACATTTTACCATCATGATCTTAGGTGATTTATAATATTTATTGTTAATTTAATTAGAAAATTTCTGAAAATACTTTAAAATACTGTATACTTAAATATACGTAACTATAAATTTACATATAATAATTATACGTAACTATAAATTTTTATTATAAATTGTCGTAAAAATAAGATAATTTTAATACTATCACCATACTTCTAACGCAAATTTAATAATAAATTGTATATATCATCCATTTCCTTTAAATGTAGGAAATTATTAAATATATTAACGTGAGCTGATAGTTTTGATTATTGAGAAAGAAGAGGCGAATGCCTCCGCCATCAGAGCCAAGCGATCGGCTCACTTATCTTCGTGTAATTGTGTGCTCACAGGGCCAAAATCGCGCGTTATCCTGTGGAACAACGGAACCGCGACTGCGGCCGCCTCCGCAATCGCGCCCC